GGAAGACCTTTATCTCACCTTCTATTCTAAATGACAGACTTGCTGGATAAAGGATTCTCGGCTGCATATTTTTTCTGTCTAGCATACTGAAAATCTCGTGCCAATTCTTTCTGGCCTGCCAAGTTTCAAAAGAGAGATCAGTCACGAGTCTTATAGGTCTCCCTTTATATGTGAGGGCACGTTTACCCCTTGCTGCTTTCAGAATTTTCTCTTTATCCTTGTATTTTGCCAGTTTCACTATGATATGTCGTGCAGAAGATCGATTCAAGTTACGTCTGAAGGGAGTTCTCTGTGCCTCTTGGATTTCAATGCCTTTTTCCTTCCCCAGTTCAGGGAAGTTCTCAGCCATTATTTCTTCAAGTACCCTTTCAGCACCTTTCCCTGTCTCTTCCTCCTCTGGGATACCAATTATGCGTATATTATTTCTTTTTAGTGTATCACTTAGTTCTCTAATTTTCCCCTCATACTCCTGGATTTTTTTATCTCTCTTTTTCTCAGCTTCCTCTTTTTCCATAACTTTATCTTCTAGTTCACCTATTCTCTCCTCTGCCTCTTCAATCCGAGCCGTGGTGGTTTCCATTTTGTTATGCATTTCGTTTAAAGCGTTTTTCAGCTCCTCGTGACTGTTCCTTAGTCCCTTGATCTCTGTAGCAAGAGATTCTCTGCTGTCAGCTATACTGTTTTCAAGCCCAGCGATTAATTTTATGACTATTATTCTAAATTCACTTTCTGTTATATTATTTAAATCCTTTTTGATCAGCTCATTAGCTGTTGTTATTTCCTGGAGATTCTTCTGAGGGGAATTCTTCCGCTTGGTCATTTGGATAGTCCCTGGCGTGGTGAGGACCTGCAGGGCACTTCCCCTGTGCTGTGGTGTATAACTGGAGTTGGTGGGTGGAGCCGCAGTCCGACCTGATGTCTGCCCCCAGCCCACCGCTGTGTCCACAGACACAGACTGTGTCCACATACTTCTCTTCCCCTCTCCTAGGGGCAGGATTCACTGTGGGGTGGGGTGGCCTGTCTGGGCTACTTGCACACTGCCAGGCTTGTGATGCTGGGGATCTGGCGTCTTAGCTGGGGTGGGTAGGCAAGGTGCACAGGGGCAGGAGGGACAGGCTTAGCTTGCTTCTCCTTAGGTGATCCACTTCAGGAGGGGCCCTGTGGCAGCAGGAGGGAGTCAGATCCGCTGCCGGAGGTTTGGCACCGCAGAAGCGCAGAGTTGGGTGTTTGCGTGGAGTGAGCAAGTTCCCTGGCAGGAACTGGTTCTCTTTGGGATTTTGGCTGGGGGATGGGCGGGGAAGATGGCGCTGGTGAGCGCCTTTGTTCCCCACCAAACTGAGCTCTGTCGTCCGGGGGCTCAGCAGCTCTCCTTCCCTTTGTCCTCCAGCCTTCCCGCTTTCTGAGCAGAGCTGTTAACTTATGACCTCCCAGACGCTAAGTCGCGCTTGCTGTCGAAACACAGTCCGTCAGGCCCCTCCGCTTTTTGCAAGCCAGACTCGGGGCTCCGTTTGGCTGGCGAGCCGCCCCTCCGCCCCGGGTCCCTCCCGCCAGTCCTTGGAGCGCGCACCGCCTCGCCGCCCTTCCTACCCTCTTCCGTGGGCCTCTCGTCTGTGCTTGGCTCCGGCGACTCCGTTCTGCTAATCCTCTGGTGGTTTTCTGGGTTATTTAGGCAGGTGTAGGTGGAATCTAAGTGATCAGCAGGACGCGCGGTGAGCCCAGCGTCCTCCTACGCCGCCATCTTCCCACCACCAGTGCTGACTTATTTTAAAGAAGACTGAGGGATTATTTCGATGCTAAGAATTTTAGTTGTGGTTTTCAAATATCCTTTATGGACATATGAAGATACATGCACATACAAATTTATAAGTGGATAGAATGCCCTTTGAAACGTGAGAAGAAAATGAGTGAAGAATATTTAAAAAGTGTGTGATGTCTAGATAGGCCCAAAGTGCATACACAACACACTGTGAGATATGAACTGGCAAGAGGTGATGTGGCCAGTGCCCTGACAAGTAATAAGGTATGGCCACTGTTGCCCCAAAGAGCCAGGGCACCAAGAGATCACTTCCACAACTTTCAGCTCTGCTAAGCTAACCATGGCTCTGCTAGGCTAACCATGAACTGAAGAGGTGAAATAATGCTGTATGGTGATGGTTTTTGTTAGCAAAGATTCCACTGCTTGCAAGGGTCTGGTGATGAGAAGGATGATGTACGCGGGTCTCTAACTGAGGTTGGTGATGGTGTGTGTATGGCTGGAGGAGGTTATGATAGAGGGTAAATTGGAGAACAGGACCTAAAATTTGTGGTAGAGCCAATGAGATTGCTACAAACTGAAAGTTTGTATCCACCCATCCAAATTCATATATTGAAGTCCTAATCCTGGGTGTGATGGTATAGTGATGGGGCCTTTGGGATTAGACAAAGTCATTAGGGTGGAAGCCTCGTGATAGGATTGATGCTCTTATATGAAGAGACACCAGAGAGCTTACTGTCTGCCACGTGAGCACACAGATAGAAGGTGGCGCCGACTGCAAGCCAGGAAGAGGGACTTCATCAGAACTTGAGCATGTGGCACCCTGATCTTGGATTTCTAGCCTCTAGAACTGTGAGAAAATGGAAATGGATTTCTTCTTCTTCTTCTTCTTCTTTTAATTTTTTAATGTTTGTTTATTTTCGAGAGAGAGAAACAGAGTGTGGGTGGGGGAGGGGCAGAGAGAGAGGGAGACACAGAATCTGAAGCAGGCTCCAGGCTCTGAGCTGTCAGCACAGAGCCCAATGTGGGGCTCAAACTCATGAGCCGTGATATCATGACTTGAGCCAAAGTCAGATGCTTAACCGACTGAACCACCCAGGCACTCCTGGATTTCTTCTTAGTAGAAATATAGGAGAGATAATTGAGTGGAACGCAGTTATGGGGAGGGGGGGAGCTATGTGGTAGGAAAATCAGTAAAAATGTGCTTTTGTATTTGTAATGCATAGAATTACAAATCATGCAAATAGATTAGGGGTTTTATAGCTTTTTAAAAATGCTGAATAATGTTATTGAGCAGATAAACTGCTGAACAGATGTTAAGTAGCTGTTTGTGATGACCCCCTTGGTTCCCCTTGTAAGGTAAGAACATCAAATCAATGATGTAATACAAAAGCCACAAAAAGAAAATTCTTCAAAATTTCCAGCTTCTAGGCCTTTTGAAAAATATTTTAAAAGGGGAAAATCTGTAGTCTTTATAGCCTGTTAATGGGAAGTTCCCTTTATGAACTTTCAGCATAATGGCTTACATTTTGTAAAACAGTACAGCATAATTCAGGTCTTATTTTGGGCTTTTTAACACTGAAAAGTAGAAAGGGCAAATTTTCCCTGGATCAGAAAACTTACCTTAGGGGTGTACAAAGATCAATTGCCAACTCTTAGGGTAGTATCCAATTTAGAAGTGTGGTGCAGAGGCACTAGCTTGAAAATTCCGAATTCTTGTGTACGTAACAAAATAGTTACGTATAATAGCCCAATATATGAAGTAGGGAAACACTGTGTTCACTAAAAATGTGTTGCTGATTTGAAGTGACAAATGTACTGCAAACTTGAATTAGATATCAGGAAGGCACAAAGAAAAATCTCTTTAAAGAGACACTAGCCTAATAAATTCTAGAAATTGCATAGTGTAGCATTGCAATATGTTTTAAAATATATATATAAATATACACACACACACATATATATACACATACATATATATGTATATATATGTGTATATATGTGTGTGCGTGTGTATATATATATATATATTTTAAAACATATTGCAATGCTACACTATGCAATTTC